GACACAAATGTCCATTAACATCACATTTATTCAACACTGTAATGGAGTTCTAGCCAGCACAGTAAGGTAAGAGAAAGAAAACGAAGAGAAAAACAAAACTATCATTACTTAAGATTACTTATTTTTAGAGAACTAAAACTAAAAATTATTAGAATGTGAAGAGCATTTAGCAAGGTAACATAAAATTTGTAAAAATGTAATTACATAAATTTATAAAAAATATATAGATTTCATTTTATAAACCAACAAACAATTCAAGAACATGTTTTTTTTTTTAAGATTTTATTTATTTTAGAGAGGGAGTACGTGGGAGTAGGGGGAGGGGCAAAGAGGGAGGGAGAGAGAAAATCCTCAGGCCGACTTGGTGCTGAGCATGGAGCCCGATGTGGGGCTCGATCTCATGACTCTGAGATCATGACCTGAGCAGAAATCAAGAATCAGAAACTTAACCAACTGAGCCACCCAGGTGCCCCTATTTGTTTATCTATCTATCTATCTATCTATCTAGATATCTATTGATTGTTGATTGATTTAAAGTAGGCTCCACACCCAGCATGGAGCCCAATGCAGAGTTTGAACTCACAGCCCTGAGATCAAGACCTGAGCTGAGATCAAGAGTCAGATGCTTAGCCAACTGAGCCACCTAAAAAACATGTTTCTAAAAGGATACCATTCACAATAATAAGATAAAGTAATAAATTCAAGAATGTATCTGACAAAAGAGAGGCAAGTATCTTTGGAGAAAATTAGAAATTTCTATGGAAATAACTAAGGAAACCTAAATAACTAGAGAGATATAGGAAGTTAATATTGTAAGAATGACAATTCTCCCCTCAAGTTGATCTATACAAACTGCACTTCCAATCATAATCACATCAGGACTTTGTGGAAACTGACAAGTTGATTCTAAAATGTATATGGAAGAACAAAAGACCAAGAATAGCCAACACACCCCTGAAAAAAACTTGCTCAAATGGTTAGCAAAACTTATGAAGGTAGAGTAATTAAGTAATTAAGACAGAATGGTATTAGCACAGGGATAGACAGCTTGGGAGAGAATAGTGAGTCTGGAAACAGACTTGTATGTCATGGAACCTTGATGTATGAGCAGAGATGGCATTGCGGATCACTGGAGAAAGGATTCTAGTCAATAAATGGTATTTGGAACATTGGCTGCCCATTTGGAAAACAAAGAAATGGATTCCTATTTTATACCAAACAAAAATGAATTCTATACGGACTAATGATTTAAACGTGAAAGCCAAAACTTTTAAAGTTTCCCCCCAAATTCTAGGAAGTACCTTTCTGATTTTTTTTCTAAGCTTTTTTTTCTTTTTTTAAGAGCAGTTTGAAGTTCACAGCAAAATTGAGAGGACACTACAGAGATTTTCCATAAACCGACTTGCCCATTCATGCATAGCCTTTCCCGTTATCCACATCCCTCACCAGAGTGGTATGCTTGCTACTGCTGATGGATCTCCACTGGTACATCATTTTCACCCAAAGTCCATAGTTATTTAGGGTTCACTCCTGGTATTGTACATTCTATGGATTTGGACAAATGTATAATGACATTTATCCACCATTATAGTATCATACAGAATGCTTTCACTGCCTGGAAGCTCATCTGTGCTTCACATATTTATCCCTACCCCACCCCACCCCAATCTCCTACCCCTGGCAGGGCAAGGATTTTTTAAATGACAAAGTTGCAAACTACAGAAGAAAAGATTGACATATTCAACTATATTAAACTTAAGAACTTTTGTTCAGGGGCGCCTGCGTGGCTCAGTTGTTAAGTGTTTGCCTTTGGCTCAGGTCATGGTTCCAGGGTCCTGGGATCGAGCCCCACATCAGGCTCCCTGCTCAGCGGGAAGCCTGCTTCTCCCTCTCCCACTCCCCCTGCTTGTGTTTTCTCTCTCACTGTGTCTCTCTCTGTCAAATAAGTAAATAAAAATCTTTAATTAAAAAAAAAAAGAACTTTTGTTCATAAAAGGCTCCATAAAGAAAGTGAAAAGATCTTGGACTGGATCCTGGATTGGGAGGAAAATTGTTCTAAAGAACATTATTGGAACAACTGGCCAAATTTCAATATGGACTATGTATTAGATATTAGTATTATATCAATGTTAAACTACCTAAATTTGAAAATGGGTACCTAAAAGAATATATTTGTTTTCAGGGATACATGCTGCAAATTACTCTCAAATAGATAAGCAAAAAATGATGTAGATATTGTCTATTTTATACACAAACATAGCAAACTGTGAATTGATGTGAAGGGTACGTATACAGGAGTTCACTGTATTAGTCCTGAAGCTTTTCTGTCAGTTTGATTTTTTTTCCCCCAAAATAGAGTAAAAAAATTTTTTAATACTTGAAAAAACACATGCTATAAACAGGAAAAAAATATTTGCAACACGTACAATTGACAAAAGATTGGTATCGATAAGATATTTCTAAGAAAAACCCTTAGAAGAAGAAGAGAAACAGGAATGGACAATCAGCATATGAAAAAATGCTCAACCTGAGGGTACTGCGATTTATTCTTGGTAGACTAGCAAAAATTAAGAAGTCTGACAAGAACAAGGTTTGGAGAGAATGTGGAGTAACAGGAAAGGGCTGATGGGTGCTGCTGGCAGCATAGATTGGTACCACCATTTTGAAAACATTGCAGCATTATCTTTTATTTTTTTAAAGGTTTTTTAAAGATCTACTGATTTATTTGAGAGAAAGAGCACCCGTGAGCATGGCAGGGAGGGGCAGAGGGAGAGGGAGAGAGAATCTCAAGCTGACTCTGTGCTGAGCACTGAGCCTGACGTGGGACTCGATCCCATGACCCCAAGATCACGACTTGAGCCGAAATCGAGAGTCAGACACTTAACTGACTGAGCCACCCAGGTACCCCCAGCATTCTCTTTTAAAGCTGAACACCCCATACTCTCTCACATGGTAGTGCTGCTCCTGAGTTCAAATGAGACCTGGGCACATCCACAGGAGGCGTGCACAGAATGCTCCTAACAGCCTTGTTAGTAATTGCCAGGGACAGATTTGGGTTTTGTGGGGCATGAGATTATGTAATTGCAGAAAAATCAGAACAAGTTACAAATGTGACAAAACCCAGGAGAGTACCATACTATGTTTTAAATTGTTTTACACACTTTTTTTTTTTGCTGCATATTTTTTGATCCCCTCTTCATTTGACAACGATTTCTGCAATGTTTATATAGAGAGAATAAAAAGGCAAAGTCTTTCTTTTAGCATGGTTTATTCAGCTTTTTAAAATTATTAACCTTTGGGATGTAAAAAAAAAAAAGTCTGGACAGAATCACTGTAGTTCTGTAGGTTTGTGACCTACAAACTCAGGGATTCTGATGAATTTTACTTTGTATGATTCCCATCAATAAAGAAAAAATGTAAAGCACATTTATAATCATATAATCATGGATACATTCCTAATGGGAGAGAACTTCCATTTGACTAAGTATTGGCCAGACCTCGATCCTCTACTTACAATTTTACAGATCGAATACATTTTTACAGACCAGCTTCTAGCTCCCTACATTTCAGACTATGTTTCTCCCCCAACATGTGTATACTTCTGGCATTGGATGCTGTAGGACACATTCAGATCCTGATATGATATTTGTCCCTACACCTTCCTACTGTGGGATGGAAAGCAATAGCCTAATACAACAGACTGCAAACCCATAAAATACATTCCACTGAACTCAAATAAATGTATCTGCAACTCAACCCACTTTGGCTCAATCCCCAAATTGCTGCTATCTATCACCACCCAACTTGAGAAGTGTTGAAGGAGGGGAAGCTGGAGTGTAAAGAGAAAGTGGTGCTAATCCACTGTGGTTTAAACATCCTTCTTTTGAAGATTTTACAAAAACATATGACCATGTAAACACATTGACAAGGCTCCTCTTTTAGGGCTATGGAAGGGACCCATGGGACTGAGGGGCTCTGAAGCTCAGATTTCATTGGCTTCATGGTAAATTTGCCTCTAATAAGTAAAAATACTGGAGACAACTCAAGTGTCCACAGGAAAATGGATAAATAACTACATAAAACAGCTTTACCGACACACAATATTATAGCAGTAAAAATAAATGTTCTACTGCTTGCTTACATTTAACTTGGATGAATCAAAGAAACAAATGCTGAATGATAAAAGCGGATCCCACAAGCCTAGATATATATTATTTTTATAATATAATGTAATTTTTTATTAGGATCCCATAGTTGGATACTATGATAAAACTACTAAAAATGGCAGAGAGAGAGAAAAATTCAGGACTGTGGTCGCTTGAGGGAAGTTCAATCTGACAGAAGGGATATACGCTTATATTAATAATGTGGTGGGGTCACAGACTTTCACACTATCAGTATGCTTTAAAATTTAACGTATTTGTTCAAAATATTATTTTGCATGCATCAAATATTAGACTGAAAAGATTTTTAAGTAGTTAAAACCGAAAATATTTTCGGCAATCCATAGGGACCAAGAGCCGTGACTTGGGTTATTTTGTTTTTGGTGTTGGGTGGGCTGTGGTAGTATGGAAATATTATCCAGTATATCAAATGCACCGCATTAAACTTACTCTGTTTAATTTCAGAGTTATTCTGCCAGCTAAAAGCAGATTGGGTTTTCAGGCCTCTGGGGCCTCTGCCCCTCCCTTTTACACTCAGACTTCCCACTTTCTAAGTGTACCAGGCTCCCGCGCCACCAGCTTCAGTCTTTCCGGTCGGTCAGACTGTTTTTTCCCAGTCCCGGCCCACTCGATGACGTAAATTCTTCCAAGAGGATCCCCAAACCTGCCCCGCCCTGCAGAACCTGGCCGGCTCCAGCCAGGCTCCGAAATTTACCAGCTGCCAGGAGCCGGGAAGAGGGCGTGGAAAGGCGCTGAACTTCCCAGGCCCCGCCCCTCCCCCGGTCTTCCCGCCCCCGCCAGCTCCCAGCCAAGCTCCGCCTCCCGCGGTAGCCCCGCCTTCCCCGTTGCGCTAAGGCGCGCTGCGGCCTTTTCCCAAAACCCGGAGAAGTGGATTCTGCGCTCCGCACGGCCCCTCCGAATCGTAGTGTGGCCGAGCGAGTCCAGGCTTGTCGGCAGGAAGCTCGGCCCAGCGCCTGGAGGGGGAAGCCGGCCCCGAACGGGAGAGGACGCGGCCTCAGGTCTGCGCCAGTGAGCGGGCCGCGCGCCCAGGCAGCTCGGGCCTCCTTCCCGTCGTGCTCCCTCTCCTTTGGGACGCGGGGCGCTAGGCCGCGGCGGTAGGATACCTCCCCCCACGCCCCGTAGGCAGTTCCCCCTCCCATCCTTGCAGTCGCCTCGTCCCGGGCCTCTCTCCGGAACCGGGTGCCCCGCCCGCCCCGTCTCCTAGCAGCCCCGTGACGTGCACGCGCCTCTGGGTGGGGGGCCGCGGGGCGGGGGTGAGGGGCATCGCCCGAGGGGAGAGTCCGGGAGCGCTCGACGGGAGGAGTCGGGGACCGCGGGGGACTCGGAGGCTGCGCCACCCGCCCGGCCGGAGCCGGTTCCGTTTCGCCATTTGAGGACCTTGAGTTCCAAGTTCTTCCTGCTGACATAGAGCCGTCCCTCCCCCAACCTCCTTGACGTTCCCGGAGACTTAGGATAGTAATTCTAGATCTTCATTTGCATTTTTTTGTTGGAATTTTTCTGGAAAAATTGAATCTCGTAATTTAGCTTAAGAATTTTTTTTTTTTAGAAAAATGTTTACTGGTATATTTAATAGCCCCCAAATTAGGTTAAAACCTTTCACAATCCACAGTCATTTTGCAAAAACATTTTTGGTGGGAATAGGCATAGCAATGGTAGAGAGCTTGCACTCTGGAACCCAGAGTATTAGAACCCAGTTCTAATACTTAGTAATGGTGTGAGCTTGGACAAGCCACTTAATCTCTAGCTGGCCAAGGTTCCTCATGTGAAAACTTAGAATACATTATACAGCGTAATATATATCTATATCTGTGCGGGGGTGGTACTACTTTACAAGCTTGTGAAGATAAGGTTCACGTGTGAAGCACTAAGCGCTGTGCTTGGAACAGAGAGAGCAATACATAAGTGTTACTTATTACATCAAAATAGCATTTTTCTCTATGCTTTCTGGTTTTGATTTTAAAGATCCCAATTGTGAAGTATCCCTCCTGTTTTCTTTTGTGAAAATGTAATAGAAGGATTTACTCCAGAATTTCTATAATATTCGGTATTTCAAAGTGCAAGTGGTCAGTAAACAGAAGCGGGCTGTATGCACAAGGCTTTATTAAGCAGTGTGCAAAGTTTCACCACTTCCATGTATAAGGAAAAGGACTTTTTTTTCACCACAGGAAATCTGTGAATGGGAGGAAAGCTTGCTGGAAGGAGTGTCATGATGCCTTCTTCGATTCCTTTCAGGCAAAGCCCAGGGACACTAGACTGACTCCAGGATAACCATATGGTACTTTATACGTGAACTTTATTGAGGGTAAAATAAATCTCATTATATAATTTCCTCAACAGAATACTGGAGGATGTTTGTCCCAAGATCTCTAAAAATCAAGAGGAATGCTAATGATGATGGCAAAAGTTGTGCAGCTAAGAAAATTAAACCAGATGCAGAAGACCTGCGGCCGGATGAAGGCAGAAGTGATGCAGCTGATGGGTTAGTTACAAAAGACTCTGAAACATCAGACAGGCACAGCGTGGAACCATGCCCTTTCCCCAGTACAGCTGGCCAGTTGGCTGAGGTTGGTTTGGTTGGACCTGAGCAGGATGCAAAGGATAGCGATCTTTCTGAAGAACCTGTTAAGTCATTTTCCAAAACACAGCGCTGGGCAGAACCTGGGGAACCTGTCTGTGTTGTTTGTGGTCGTTATGGAGAGTACATCTGTGATAAGACAGATGAAGATGTGTGTAGTTTGGAGTGTAAAGCAAAACATCTTCTGCAAGTAAAGGAAAAGGAAGAGAGATTAAAACTCAGCGATCCGCAGAAAGCAGATTCTGGGCCAGAGTCTCCACTTAATGCTTTTTATGTCTATAAAGAGCACCCCTTTATTTTGAACCTTCAGGAAAACCAGATTGAAAATCTTAAACGGCAGCTAGGAATTGTAGTTCAAGGGGTAGATGTCACCAGACCCATTATTGACTTTGAGCACTGTGGTTTCCCTGAGGCCTTGAATCACAACTTGAAGAAATCAGGCTATGAAGTTCCAACCCCCATCCAAATGCAGATGATTCCTGTGGGACTTCTGGGAAGAGACATTCTGGCCAGTGCGGATACTGGCTCAGGAAAAACAGCTGCTTTTCTTCTTCCTGTTATCACCCGAGCTTTATGTGAGGTAAGAGTTCACACGTGTTACTCTCAGAAGCAAGTCAGGTATATACCAAGTTTCATCCTTAACTATGTTAAAACTGCAAACTGAAACTATAACTTCAGTCATTAGTGCTCGTGGTGATTTTGCTTCTGACAGTAGTTTGTATGAAAAACATAATTTTAGGGAATTTTTCTTTTATCAGATTGAACCAAAGATCTTTTCATTGAAGGTCTTAAAAATCGCTTTCCTTACAAAGTATTTTCTTTCAACAAATTTTCTATTCAAGAAATAAACTTTTGCTTTGGGGAAAAAAAAAATCCAGCTGACTGGATGACCTGCAGTTTTTGGGTCAGTTTAGCCTCCTTGGATTTTGTGTTTTGAAAAAACTGATTTATACCAAAGTTGGAATGTTATTTTAGAGTTCAAAATACACACTTAAATGTGATCCATGATTCATCTTAAAATAATGCTACCTTACTTTGTTAGTTTATAGTGTGCAAAGCACCCCCACACATAACTAATTTCCCTGACATATTTGCCAAGTACTAGTGAGTTTGTGAGGTCTGAAGTAGGACAGGAAGGGAAATCAGTGCACAATGCAGGCAAAGAGAGGAGAGGTAAAGAAGTTTGGAGAACTAAAGAATCGTAAGAAGATAATGTGAGGAAAAAATAAAAGAAAACATCAGATGTTCAAAATATAAGTAAAACTCACTGGATGTCCAAAATAGAGCAATAGGTCAGGAAATAGGACATTTATAACAGTAAGTTCTTTGGACAAAGAAAGAAGCGAATCTACAGGAGAGCTGAGGGGGAATTATCAAGGGTGGAATACCAAGCTCTAACCAGATCTTCATGGTTTTCTCTTCAGAGGAGCGTGGCTAGAGATTGCAGCGTCCAGTTGACCTTCAGTTTTCCCACCCTGGTTATCATGGGTGCTTCTCCCTGGCCCCAGTTTTGACCGTTCACTCTATATCTGTTACATAAGGAAGGGTTCAATTTACGGTGGTTTTGGGGGAGGAAATCTGCAGTGAGCAGAAGGCAGGAGGGTTCATATCCAGTTGAGCTGATGGGAACACTCCCAGAATCACTTTGAAGATTTAGTCCACATCAGCAGGAATTAATTGCTGGCATTTTTTAGACTTGTTTTTCACATCTTTGCAGAGCAAAACTCCATCTGCACTCATCCTTACACCAACAAGAGAGTTAGCCATTCAGATAGAGAGCCAAGCTAAAGAATTGATGAGTGGTCTGCCACGCATGAAAACTGTTCTTCTGGTAGGGGGCTTACCCTTACCCCCACAGCTTTATCGTTTGCGACAACATGTGAAGGTAAGCACCAATTTGATAAAATGCCTTTGAAAAGTAATATGGGAGCTTGGGTTTTTTGGTGGTGGTGTTTTGTTTTTGCCCTTGAAGAATTCATAAGTGTGATTTTAGGTTAGCCTTTATTTTTGTTTTTGTTTTTGTAGGTTGACCTTTAAATTCTTACCAAGTAACCCTTAATTTTTTTAAGGTTGTTTTATATCAGAAAGGAACACAATTTATTGAATGCCTGTCATATGCCAAATGCTGCTGGATGTTCTCACGTGCATTATCTCATTTAATCATCACATTTGCTCTTGAAGGTGGGTGGGCATATCCCATCTTTTATGGTTGAGAAGTTGAATCTCAGAAAGATGGCATTTATCTAAGGATCCATAGCTAATATACTTTAGAGTGTGATTCCTACAAATGAAGACATTATCCCACGTAACCACAATACAGTTCCAGAATCAGGAAATTAACACTGATACACTGGAATGCTTCAGGAATTAACATTGCTGTCATTTACTCCTCAGAGCCCATTCATGTTTTACTAATCGTCCCGTCACCTTTTCTTTTTAACAGCACAAGAATGCAGTTCAGAATCACATTTTGCATTTAGTTGTCATGTCTCTTTCATCTCCTTCAGTTTAGAACAATTCAGCCTTTGCTTTTTTTCATGATCTTGACACTTTTAAGGATTATAAACTGCTTACTTTGAAGAAGGTCCCTCAATTGATTAGATTCAAGTTATGTATCTTTGAAAGGAATATCATGGAAGAGATGCTTTGTTCTTTTCATTGCATCCTTTTAGATGATACACAATTTGTCCTTTTATGGGTGATAATATCTGTAAAGTAACTCTAAAGTTTATTTTTTCCCTTTGTATTTAGTTAAGTATTTTGAGTACTTTCATACTGTAAATTTCTTGTGCTTTACCAAATTTTCAACTTATTCTTTATATATATCAATATGACTCATGGTTACCTATTATATTTAAAGGATTGTAATCCGTTATTACCATTATTTGTTTTGGCTCTCCACTTCCCCAATTTGAGCAGTGGACACACTGTGAAGTTAGTTTCTGTGGCCTTTTATTATATCCCCATCATTCTCTGAGCGCTTTGTTTTTTTCTATGTGAAGATGATGTTCATGCTTACATTGTTCTTTCCTTGGCTCTGCCCTGGAATCATGCCTTTCCCCAAGCTGCCCTGACTCTTTCTGGTAGAGGATAGTATTTAGAAACCAAGATCTGGGCTCTTGGTTGGGCTCACTGCTATTGCTCTCTGCTGTTAAATTATCATTGCTTCTAGCACTTCTCAGTGAATAAAGGAGAGAATATTCCATAAGTCTGTATTTCTGCATCTACAGTTATCATAGACCATGGGTTCATGTCGATACTTCCAACTCTAATTCAACACAGCAAGATTCATTTTGGCATTTTCTGTTTCCATATTTGTCACTCTGGCAGTGAGAAACCTGCTACCTGTTATCTTTTGTGTATTTATTTACTTGATCAGCCATCTTATATGTAACCATTCGCCCATCCTCATCTCTGTCCCCTGCCCCACAGTGATGCCTTCCTTCCTAAACTCCACCCTGCACACTCTTCACCCCCTTAGACCGCAACACCCTGTGCAGGGTCATCTTTCTCCGGAGGCCTCTCATCACCCTGCTGCCTCTCCCATTCCCCATGCCAGGCCATGTCCTTCACAGATACCCTCTGAGAAAAAAGAACTGAAAAATCTGTCTCTTCAACAAGGTGATCTTTCAAAAGCCAGGGCAAAATAGAGACTTTTTCAGATAAACAAAACCGAGAGAGTTTTATTACCAGTGGATTTATCTAACAGAACACTAAACTAAGATATTCTGCGTATAAAGAAGATGATTCTGGAAAAGAAGGTGTGGGATCAAAGAAAGAATGGCGAGCAAAGAAAATCCTAAGCATGTGGGTAAATGTAAACACACATTGACTAAACAAAAAATAATAATGAACAATCTGTGGGTTTAAAAAAAATGGAAGTAAAATATTGGCCGACTGTAGCATATAAGTGCAGGAAAGTTGTTATTGGTGTTAAATCGTTTGCCCTTGATTGTTCAAGAAAAAGGTAAATAGGTCAGTGTACTTTAGGTTTTATTAAGTTTATATACGTTTATTAAAATTCAAGGGAATTCCCGCACTAAAAGAACGGGGAAAAAAGTTTATAATTTCCAAACCAGCAGAGGGGGAAACATGGGATAGGAATAGAAGGGATGAACTCAGTTCAAAATAATTAAAACATTTAAATGTTTACGGTATTTCTGAAGAAACTAAGTGGAACTCTAGTTCTGTAGATACAGATCCTTACAACCCTGAAATTTCATCATTCTCCGTGATCTATCTCACCATTGTGTTGGTGTGTCCTTGAAAAGTGGAATACAATTGAATTTATTAGATCATTTGTAACTGTACTATATTTTACACCAGGCACTGTCTCATTTAATCCTCACAATAATTATTATCATTTCCATTTTACGAATGTGAGAACAGAGACTCATACCATTATTAAGTGCTAGAGCTAAGATCCCTACTGAAGTTTGACTAAACAGGCCCTACTTTTAACCACTGCTTTAACTAATGTATTATAAAAGCGTTAAGAGCCTTAAGCAACTTTAGAAATCATTGTGCCCAACTTTTTAATTTAAAAACAAAACAGCAGGCCCAAAGAGGTTAAGGGATTTGCACTTGTTTGCAGAGCCAAATAGCAGTCAGCCTGCCTGCAAGGCCCTCTGCCTCGTTTCAAGCCTCATCCAAGTCTTTCTACCCCCTCTTCACCCCGTGGAAGCCTCAGTGGCCTGCCAGCTTCAGAAGATTCTTGGATGTTTTCCCTCTGCCCTCTCCTCAGCGGCTCCCACTACTCTGTTAGGTTTTAGCTTATACGTTAGCTAGGACTGGATAGATGCCTCCATTCACTGCATACTATACTGACCTCATGGGCATTTATTTGTTTTATCTGTTCCTTCCTTTGTGTTATAAGATTCACAAGAGCAGAGACTATGTGTGACTTACTCATCATTGAATTCTGAGTACTTAACCCAGTGGCTAGCACATATTAGCCACTCAGTAAGTATAGATAGAAAGAAGGAAGGAAGAAAGGAAGGAGTATTATCTAATTTTTTTTTTTCTATTTCTCTGTTCTTCAGGTTATCATAGCAACTCCTGGGCGACTTCTGGATATAATAAAACAGAGCTCTGTAGAACTCCGTGGTATAAAAATTGTAGTAGTAGATGAAGTAAGTGGTGTTGTTTAGAATATTAGTCACATAATTTTATACAATTTATGAGAAGTGTATTACGGTTACATAATCTCACCGTGTGTTCAGGCATTCTCTCCCCCAAAGGAGAAAAATTTAGGAATTTTTTTTTTTTTTTACTTGCAGTAGTCAGTCTTAAGCTGGGTCCTGTGTAGCACTGCAGCTGACCTATAGTCCACCCAAAATGAAACCACCTTAATAAATACAAGCAGTTGTCTTTTCCTAAGTGACAGAAAACACAAATCCAGCATCTATATTCTCAGTGATAAGTTTTTTAAACATTTGACACTGGCTATAATTTGTCTACAAAAATAAAGGTATCCATGGCAAATAACTATTAAGAGGGCGTTTGGAAGTAGCTAATGATGCTTAGTGGGATGACCTTTTGTATTTTTTTTCTCTGTGGACATAAGTGTCTGTGGTTGTGATTTTCAGTGTGACATAGAGCATATAGGCGTTTTTATAGTTTTGGTTTGCTTAGTAAGATGAAATAAATATATGATTATCTGATGATACCCCACCATGTGAACAGGCATGAGGACAGAAAGCCATGTGTCCGCCCAGACTGGGCATGGACCGGTTCTGCCTGCAGTGCGTCGCACGCTCACTCTCACACATGTCCCACCAGCAGTGATCAGAAATGTGGGGTCCAGGGGCTGACCAGTGATGGCAACGTGGCCCGCCTTCTGTGGGCCCCTGGAAGTAGTAGTAGGGTACCAGAGGATGTGGAAAGAACACGTAAGAGCTGCAAGACTAGGATTTAGCCTTTACTCCACCCACTATGGGACACTGGGCAAGTCATTTAATCTTCCAGAGTTGTGGCAAGGATGAAGTAATGATTGTGAACGTGTCTCATAGACTGAAAAGTCCTATATAAATGTAATGATATTCAGTCCTTTATTATTTTTTTTTCTGTTTTTTTCCTTACATATTTACTTTTTTGTGTGTGAGAGCATTTAAGTTCTACTCCCTTAGCAAATTTCAATTATACAATACAGTGGTATCAACTATGGTAACCGTGTTATGATTTCAGACCTTATGTATTTTATAACTGAAAGTTTTTACCCTTTAACCCCAGACCTCTTCCTATTTCACCCACTCTCCAGCCCCTGGCAATCATTTTTCTCCTAATTTCTATGAATTTGACTTTTATTTTCTTATTTTTAACTTTTTTAGATTCTACATATAAATGATACCACATAGTTTTTGTCTTTTTCTGTCTAGCTTACTTCACTGAATATAATGTCTTCCAGGTCCATCCATGTTACTAAAAGTGAAGGAATTTTCCATCTGAATAATATTTATACACCTCATTTTCTTTATCTGTTCATCTGCTGATGGACACTTGGGTTATTTCCATACCTTGCCTATTGTGAACTTTTATTCAGTCCTTTAAAAAATACTGCTAAATCAGCATTTTCCTGGCGTGCCTTTTGTTTCAACTGATTTATTGCATCTGATTATCATCAGACTTACTTCCACCCTGCAAGTATGGGTAGGCATCCTGTTGTTGATAAGCCCATGTGCTCTGAAGTTCTCGCCATGCTCTGAGCCTGAAAACTGACCCTCATATAGATTTTAAAGTTAAGTTCCATTCCTGCTTGCTTCTCTCCACATTTCCATTCTCGCCAATGAATGAGCTTTCACAGGGCACCTCAGTGCTGGGCTCAGAATACAAAAGGAGTATTCACTCAGCAAACCTGTGCTCTCTACAGCCTCCGTCCCAGCTCCTCCGCCTTTAAGGAGATGACCTGGTAAACAACATAATTGATCATGTACTGAAACGTTGGCACAGAAGTGCTCTTTAGGTACAGACTGACCAGCCCTGGGTCAGTTGGGACGGCATCACAAAGAAATTTTAAATATTATTCCGGCCCACAAAGTGCTGAAATCTTACTGGAGAAAAAGACACAAACACTTGAAGTAAAGGCAAGAACATTATCTATCCTGAAATACAAAAGTGGTGGAAGGTGTAATGCAGGCCAGGGAATGGCAAACTCTGTAAAGGATCAGATAGGAAATATTTTAGGCTTTGGGGGCCACATGGTCTCTGTTGCAACTGCTCAGTACAACCATAGATAGTAGGTAAATGATTGGGTGTGACTGCTTTTCCATGAAGCTCTAGTTACAAAAGCACATGAAGGTCTGTGTTTGTCCCAAGAGCCTTAGTTTGCTGACTCCTGATATAAACTGTTAGTGAACTAATGGGAATATGTATGATACGTTAATTGTTCAGGACAGTTAAGAAGGAGAAATGAGAGAATGTGTGAATTGGCACCGTAAAAAATGGCTTCTCTGATGTCATGGGATGTGATCTGGTCGTCCACAGATGGAAAAGGATTTAGAAACCTAGACCGTGTATCAATGTTCCAGGTGAAGAAGCTAACAACATCAGCAGAGCCAGAAAGGCCAAGCACAAGCACAGAGAGACCAGCCAGCTTGAAGCATTCTTCCTGAGAAATAATAGGAAGTAAAGTTGGGTAGTTAGGGTGGGGTCAAATTATAGAGGACCTTGAAAGGGAGGCGGAGGATTTTGGATTTGATGTGGGAAACAATGAGGCTTTCTAAATTATTGAGTTTGGGTGTCACATGTGGAAAGTGGTGGTTTAGCAAGGTTATTCTGCTGCTCCATGCAAGAGACATTAAAGAAGAAAGAATCTGTGGGACAGAATGGCAAGCACCCCAGACAAGAAGTGAGCAGGGTCAGGGACAGGGTGGAGGCAGTGGGAGGCATGAGTACATCTGAGAATCACTGTAAATCATTCGTGAATCTTCTAATGACTGAATATGAGAAAAGATGAAGAAGAAGGTGGTTGAGGGGACTCCATAAATTCTGGTTATGCCTTTAATTTTAAGTAAAGGACAAGTGGGTATGGGTTGGGGCTTGACAATAATATGTGAGTTTGGTTTTAGAGATGTCAAATTTCTTGTGAATGGTGGGTGAAGGGGAAATACTGTGTGGATATGAGAAGTGGGCATTAGCGTCCATGAGCCACACTGGTTTCTCGAAGGGACAAAGGCTGGGGCTAAGTGTCTGTTTGTGGAGTTTGAAGATGAGTCTACTGTAAATAGAGAAGTAATGTGAGAGACCAGGAAGGAACTGAGAACAAGTACTATCCCTGAAAAGAGAGGCCACTGTTTCAAGAGGAGGGTGAAGATACAGGAATGGTCAGGCATGGAGACTAAGATAATTCCTTTAAAATTAGAAAACTCTGCATGGAGACTAAGATAATTCCTTTAAAATTAGAAAACTCTGCTCTGTCAGTCTTCTGTGTCTTCCATGTATCTGTCCTTTAGCCTAGAATTCTCTCCCATCCCATCTACCTCCTCTTCCTTCTTTATGTGTCCATGTCTCTGAAACCTTCCATCAGTCCTCCAGATAGACTTCAGGCCTTCTTTTCTCTCTGCTCTTTGACCTGTATGTAGACTGTATCATTTCTCTTCTCTTATATTCTTTGATATATCCCCACAATCAAGCACAGTGTTGGCCCAAGTTTCCCCTAATGGTAAGAATCACCCAGTGTGCTCAGTGAATGTAATGGAAGACCAGACTTCTTACTTGGGTATCCTGATTCAATAGGCCTGAGTTGGCGTCCAGGAATATTTAAAAACTTGTTCTGGGTGATTTCTTGTCTTTAGGGGGATTTGGGACACACCGACTAGCGAGCTGCCTGATAGTGCTTTTTCAGTGCTTAGATTTCATGAATGCTTGTTTATTCATCAAATGCATTTTTAGGGCTTTTTACATGCTAGACACTGTCCTTGGTTTTGAGGATACAATGGAAAGTGAGATAAGCCATGACAAATGTCGGTACACAGGTCGTATGACAGAGACAACTGGGGAATTGGGTATCAGAGGAGGGCTCTCTGAGTGACATTTCTGCTGAGACCTGAACGAGAAGGAGCCAGCCACGCAAAGACCCATCTGGAGGAAAGACTGCTTCAGATAGAACAGCCAGTGTGCAGGAGCTAATGTGGGAGCGAACATTGGGATAGTTGGGGACAGAAAGAAGCCTGGTGTGCAGGGTCGTGGGGCGTGACATGGAGGAGTGGTAGGTGATGACGTCAGAGAAGTGGATGAGGATGAAAACTGTAGGACTTCAGGCTATGGTTAGCAGTTGGGTTTTAGTCTATGTGTGATGGGAAATTACTGGAGGGTTTAAGCGGAGGAGTAACAGAGACGTTTTATGTTCTAGAACATTCTGGATGCTTGGGATGGATGGCTTCAGGTGTGGGGGTGACAGGATGAGGAGGAGTCTCACAACTATGAGCTGGAGAGAAGTAGCTGGATTTGGGGCGTGTTAGCGTAAACAGATTAGATGCAGGGAAGCTTGGATGAGAAGAGATACTGGGCGAATTTATTTCTTATGGCCACTCTGTTTTCTGAACCAGGGAGAAGGAAGGCCATCTCCTGGGATGAGGGGGGCTTAGTGGGATTACTGAGGAGAAGCAGGGGCTGTTTGCAAGACATACTACTGTGTGCATGTTCACATGCTCTGTGTCTCATGGTAAATTGAAACATTGAGACTTACCATGCTGTGAGTGTGGTCCCAAATATCTTATGTATTTTATCTCATTAATCCTCATAACAGCCCTATAGGGTAATTATTATTATCATCATTCTCATTTGTAAAAGGAAAAACTGAGGCGTATAGCCATTCATTAGCATGCTTAACTTAAGGTCTAAGGTAGAGCCAGGATCAAATCTAGACCATCATGATTATTTTAGATTTTTGAAATGTCATAGAATGAATAATATTAAAACTAGTATTCAAACTTCCACGTTAGCAGACACTTAAAAAATACAATGCTTTAGTCTAAATACTCTTATTTTTCAAAATTATAGATACCTGGATTGTATTTAAAAATCAAGATAGCCTATATCTTTCATTATTTTAAAGCAGCACTAACTTAAAATTTTTTCTTCTGTTTGCTTAGTAATACATAAATTGTTTTTGAAAACTAGCAATGCAGAAGTATATACGGAAGTGAAAGCCCTCAACATTAAATTTTTAAAATTTATATAATATTTTATTATAAATATATGTCCATGGTAGAAAAAAAAGCCCCAAACTTTGCAAACTTTGGGTTTGAAAAATTAAATTGCATTCCCTTCCACAGCCTGCAAGCCTTTTCCCCAGAGTTAGCACTATACAAATGGTATCACGTATACATAGTGTTCTGTACTTTGCGTTTTTCTTCCTAATAGTGACTCATTATCACTTAATAAAGGACTTTCCGCTCATAATTAATGATAACATAAGGTTGTATTATGTGGATGGATCTACCATATTTTATTTACCAAATCCCCGATTGATGGATATTTAGGGTTTATATATTTGTTGCCACTATTAATAATGCCGTAAGAATCTTTGTATATCACTAAAAACATAAAATTATACAATATTTAATTTTATATAAATATATATTTTCCCAATTCTTTATCTTTTCACATTGTGGTATATTCTTCTGTTTAAAAGTTTTTAATTTTTTATGTTCTTAATCATATCCGTTTTTTCCTTGGGTGGCTTAGGGTTTTAATGTCAAATAGGACTAACTTTAAAATGATTTTATTTTAGGCCGATACCATGTTAAAGATGGGCTTTCAACAGCAAGTGCTTGACATTTTGGAAAACGTTCCTAATGATTGTCAGACCGTTTTGGTTTCAGCTACAATTCCAACTAGCATAGAACAACTAGCAAGCCAGCTTCTGCATAATCCTGTGAGAATTATCACTGGGGAAAAGAACCTGCCCTGTTCCAGTGTGCGCCAGATTATTTTGTGGGTGGAAGAACCAGCCAAAAAGAAAAAATTATTTGAAATCTTAAATGTGAGTAGTAAAGCAGTCAACCCTGTTTTGTAGATTGTGTTTGCATCTTTCACAGTTCTTAAGATAATAATTTTTATATGCAGCTTTTGGAGAATTTAGTATAGATATTTAATAATAAATTGCATTACTTTGGAATTCTGTGGGGATCAAATAAATGCTGTATGGATGCAGGGTTGCTTTTTATTTTCTGTATTATAGAAAGACATTTAAATACCAAGATTATTCCTAAATAATATTTTTTTGTTTCAAAAAATTTTAGTAGTTTTATGTATCAGATAAAGACAAGTTCTTTCTTGGCCATTCTGTCCTTGAGAAATAGAATTTTTTAGCAGTAACTTTTTTTTTTTTTAAGATTTTATTTATTTGTCAGAAAGAGAGAGAGCACAAGCAGGGGGAACAGTAGGCAGAGGGAGAAACAGGCTCCTTACTGAGCAGGGAGCCCAATGTGGGACTCGATCCCAGGATCCTGGGATCATGACCTGAGCCGAAGGCAGCCGCTTAACCAACTGAGCCACCCAGGCGTCCCAGCAGTAACTTGTTTAAACAGAAATGTATTAAGTGGGTGATAATGTGTAAGCGCAGTTACTTAAAAATAAAGTATAAAGGGGGTGCCTGGGTGGCTCAGTCAGTTAAGCATTTGACTCAATTTCGGATCAGGTCATGATCTCAGGGTTTTGAGATCGAGCCCCATGTTGGGCTCCTCGCTCAGCATGGAGCCTGCTTAAAGATTCTCTCTCCCTCTCTCCCTCCCCCAGCTTGTGTGCATGCACACACTCTCTCTCAAAAAAATTAATTAAAAAATATTCAGTTAAATATGGTTTGTATTTACTTATGAACAGTATTTAAAATTTTAAGTTGCATTCAAAATTTTAAAATTATTTTTACGATATTAATGAAATGATGGAGAAATGTGCAGGGCAGTAGAGTTTTGCACTTCTGTTTGTGCATATTTGAAAGAAAACATTCATTTTAACACTCATTTTTCCTCTATAAACCTATGGATAACTAGCTTATACTAATGTTTTCAGAAAAACTTCTCATTGTAATTCATGTTCTATGAATTATTTTATTTATTTACTTATTTTTTAAAGATTTTATTTATTTGACAGAGAGAGACACAGCGAGAGAGTGAACACAAGCAGGGGGAGTGGGAGAGGGAGAAGCAGGCCTCCCGTGGAGCAGGGAGCCCGATGCGGGGCTCGATCCCAGGACTCCGGGATCATGACCTGAGCCAGAGGCAGACACTTAACAACTGAGCCACCCAGGCGCCCCTCTATGAATAATTTTAAATACATGTTTTTCATTTTTCAGGATAAGAAACTCTTCAAGCCTCCAGTGTTAGTATTTGTGGACTGCAAGTTGGGAGCAGATCTCTTGAGCGAGGCAGTGCAGAAAATCACAGGTCTAAAAAGCGTATCTATACATTCGGAGAAATCACAAACAGAAAGGAAAAACATACTGAAGGTTTGACACTCAGCATTGTCTTTTCAAGGGACCCCATATTACCAGCTGGTTTTTAAAGCAGACTTTTTTTAATGACTGCAAGAACTTCAGGCAAACAGTGACTGTGAGCTAATTGTTCTCTTGCTCAGGCTTCTGTGTTTTGGGAGCAATAAGCCTGTTCCCTACAGGATTAATCTACTAAATAGATTACTAATTCAGAATCTACCATTTCTGAAATCAGGTCAGTTTAGACTGGGGCAGAGCAGTAATTCACCCTTGGAAAAGTTTGCCAGAGTACATTAATAGGAAAAAATTGATGCAGGGGTTGGGGAGGGGCCGGGAAGAGCTTAAACTACACACGTTTCTCAGGTATACTAAGACCTTTACTTATTGAAAAGATACAGCAATGATATTGAAGAATGTTTTGAAAAAAGAAAAGATACCTGAATTGTATAAAACCACGTAAGATAAATTCTGAATAATGAATTGTGTTGCTTTGTGGGGAAGGGATTACTTGAAGGAGACTATGAAGTTGTAGTGAGCACAGGAGTCCTGGGACGAGGCCTAGACTTGATCACTGTCAAGCTCGTTGTCAATTTCGATATGCCGTCAAGTATGGATGAGTATGTGCATCAGGTAAAGAGATTTTATATGCTTCCATTGTGAGTTTTCTTGGGCGAGGCATTGTCAGTAGAATGGTAACTAAAAAGAAAAAGCGTTTTATCACAGACATAAAAAACTCCTATCGTTTTGTTTTTAAAGCATGTATGTATAGGGGCGCCTGTCTGGCTCAGTTGGTGGAACATGTGATTCTTGATCTCAGGGTTATGAGTTCAAACCCCTTGTTGGGAGTAGAGATTACTTAAAAATAAAATCTTTAAAAATATGTGTATATGGATGTAAACTAGATTTTGTTTGAAAGAACTGTATGTATGCCTAAAATGGGTTAAAAAATTATTAGAAAGAATAACCTAAAATGTTACTTTAAAAAAAATTGTAAGTAGTTAGTTTTTGGTTTATTTTTACTTCCTTTATATTTCTTATTCAGTAAGCATATTAAATGGCTTTTATAATCAGGGGAAAGAAAGGCTTGGTTTTAAGTTAATATATCTGGCCAAAATAAAACTGATCCATTAAAGTATTTGGGTTTTTTTAGGAATCTTGTCTTCATCTCTTCTTCATATCCTTATTTGTTCTAGACTTTCACCTATTAAAGTTTTCTTTCTTTATTTTGCTGCCAGAGATAACAGCAGCTCTTCTTTCGAGCAGAAATAGAGCTTTCTCTTAGCGTCGCCTTATCTCCCTGACTGCTACCTGTCTTCCTTCTCTGGCATCACTTACAGACTCTTCAAGTAAAGTCTTTCTGTCATGTTCTTAGAATTACCTCTGAAGGCCACATTTACTTGGATCACCCACTGAAATGCTTGAATGCATTGTTGCTTGTATTTTTACTTAGTAATATAGCAGGGCCTCTCTCTCAGTGCCACCCCATTTACCTGTGCATCAGGGAATTGACTGTCATACAAGAGTGGGTTGCTCAAATCACTCAAATCAGAAGTTTATTTTCTTTCAGACTTTTAATTTAATGATTTTGGATAGTCATCTTTCCAAAATATTAAGATACTTAAGAAGCTTCTTTGCTTCTTAAATAGAGTAGTCTGATTATAATTATTTAACATTTTCTTGCTATCGCAATGTCAACCCTGTGGCTCTCAGTTATTCACAATGTACCCTGAGCAGTGGCCTCAGGGGGTGTTGAAGGGGGTGTTGAATTCTACTCAGAATGGCCCCATATCCTTCTGCTTTTCTAGTTCTGTATCAGGGTATTGTTTGTTTGCTTGCTTCAGTAATTGAAGTATGAATATACACAATAAGAAATAATGGAAATAACAAAAGATATAAAATGAACAATAAGTATTTGTTTTATGTTATTTTTTGTTTTTTGGGGGTTTTTTTTTAAGGTTTATGTATCCTAGAGAGAGAGAATGCGTGCACATGTGCGTGCAGGGGGAGGGGCAGAGGGAGAGCGAGAATCTACAGCAGATACCCTGCTGAGCATGGAAACCAACTTGGGGCTCGATCTCATAACCCTGAGATCATGACCCGAGCCGAAATCGAGTCAGATGCCCAACTGACTGAGCCACCCAGGCACCCCAAAATGAAAAATAGGTCTTTGTAAGATAGCCCTCCTACCTTTGAGTGGTTATGACAGTTAACGGCGCAGAAAATATAAATGCCTATTTATGCACAAATACACATGTACATGCGTACCCTGTTTTACTTACTACATAAATGGGACCATATTACACCAACTATCTATGCCTTCCTTTCTTTATTAAATATATATTAGGCATCTTTCCTTATTAGCATACATAATGGGTACCATTTTAAAAATATTAATGTATATGAAATGCTTCCCATATGGCCAGGCACTGTTCTAAACTCTTTAAATGTTTTTACTTGTTTAATTGGGCTTGATCTGTTTTCATTGCTGCATGGTAATCTGTTGTATGGATTATCATGATTTATTTAATAAATCCTTTATAATTTGATGGAAATCAAATGTTTCTAATATTTGTTATTAAATAATGCTGCATGGGGCACCTGGGTGGCTCAGTCAGTTAAACATCTGGCTCTTGGTCTCAGCTCAGGTCATGAGTTCAAGCTCCATATTGGGCTCCACACTGGGCATGGAGCCTATTTAGAAAAAAAAAAAATAATAATGCTGCACTGAACATCTACCTATATAGTTATGCCTCTCATGCAGTATATTTGTAAGATAAATGTGTAGGAGACCTGATAGGTCAAAGGATATGTGTATTTTATTTTATTCTATTTTATTTATATATATTTTTTTAGGATACATGTATTTTATGTTTTTTAAGATTTATTTATTTATTTATTTTAGATTTTATTTATTTGAGAAAGAGAGAGCACAAGTTGGGGGAGGAGCAGAGGGAGAGGGACAAGCAGAGCAGACTCCCCACTGAGCGCAGAGCCCTACTGGGGGCTCACTCACTCTCACAACCCATGAATCATGATCTGAGCCAAAACCAAGAGTCAGATGCTCAACTGACTGAGCCACCCAGGCACCGCTAGGATATGTGTATTTTAAATTATAGTAGGTATTCCTATGTGTCTGCTTTTAAAGATTTATTTATTTATTTTAGAGAGAGAGTGCATGCATGAGTGGGGGAAGAGGCACAAGGAGAGGGAGGGAAGCAGACTCCCCACCAGGCATGGAGCTCAATGATGCAGGACTCAATCTCAACCCTGAGATTATGACCTGAGCCGAAATCAAGAGTCAGACTCTTAACCGACTGAGCCACCCAGGTCCCCTATGTGTCTGCTTTTAGTTTAGGGGCAGGGAGCTTCTGGGGAAATAATTTTGAATTTGTTAAGTCTTTTAGAGTTTGTAGACTGTTGCAGTTATTTTTTTAAAAAGCTTATGTCTCAATATGAAATATTTCAATAAATTTTGTCTCAATTGATATAATTAACCACTCGAAAGTGTACAGTTCAGTGGTTTTTAGTATATTCATATAGTTGTGTTACCATTACTACACTCAATTTTAGAACATTTTTATTATCTCAAAAGAAAACCCCATACCCATGCCATCAGCAATCACTCCCCATTCTTCATCTCTCAAACGTGTGTGTGTGTGTGTGTGTGTGTGTGCTGTCCCTTAAGCAACACATAAAGCAAGATTTATCTCTTCTAGAAATTTCATATAAATGGAATCATATGGTATGTAGCCTTCTCTGGCTTTTTTCACTGATCACAATGTTTTCAAGTTTCACTCATATGGTAGCATATATCAGTACATTTTGTATTGCTACATAATATTGCATTGTAAGGATATACCACCTTTCTTTGTTCCTTAGTTATTAGAGACTTAGCATGTTTCTACTTTTTGTTTACTGTGAATAATGCTGCTGTGAGCATTCATGTACAAGTTTTTATGTGGACATCGGTCTTTTTTTCTTTTTAATTCCAGTATAGTTAACATACAGTGTTATATTAGTTTCAGGTGTGCAATATAGTGATTCAGCAATTCAATACATTACTCAGTGCTCATCATGACAAATGTACTCTTAATTCCCTTCACTTATTTTACCTATCTCCCCCCGCCCCATAACTGTCAGTTTGTTCTCTATAGTTAAAAGTCTCTTTTTTGGTTTATCTCTGTTTTAATTTGTTCATTTGTTTTGTTTCTTTAATTCCACATATGAGTGGAATCATATGGTGTTTGTCTTTCTCTGACTGACTTATTTCAGTTAGCATTATACTGTCTGGATTCATCCAGTTATTACAAATGGAAAGATTCCATTCTTTTTTATGGCTGAGTAATACTCCATTATATATATATGTATATATATGTGTGTATATACACACACACACACACACACACACCATGTCTTCTTTATCCATTCATCTATGGATGGACACTTCCATAGAAGTGGCATGGCTGCTTCCATAATTTGGCTTTTGTAAATAATGCTGCAATAAACATAGGAGTGCATATATCTTTTCAAATTAGTGTTTTCCTATTCTTTTGAGTAAATACCCAGTAGTGGAATTACTAGATCATATGGTAATTCTGTTTTTAATTTTTTGAGGAAACTCCATGCTGTTTTCCACAGAGGCTATACCAGTTTCCATTCCAACTAACAGAGCACAAGGGTTCCTTTGTCTGCACATCTTTGCCAACATTTGTTCGTTTTCATTTCTGTTGGGCATACACCTAGGAATGGAATTGCTGGGTCATACCGTAATTCTGTGCGTAACATTTTGAAGAACTGATAGACTCTTTTCCAATGTGGCTTCACGATTTTACATTCTCAGCAGTGATACACAAGGGCTCCAATTTCTCCAAATCTTTATCAACACTTATTTATCTTTTTAATTATAGCCATGCTAATGGGTGTGAAGTGTGATATCTCCTTGTGTTTTTTTTAAGATTTTATTTTTATTTATTTTAGAGCGAAAGCACACAGTGGGGAGGTAGAGGGGGAGGGAGAGGGACAAGCTGACTCCGAGCTGGGTGCTGAGCCCGACGTAGGGCTCTATCTCACAACCCTAAGATCATGACCTAAGCTGAAATCAAGAGTCTGACACTCAACCGACCAAGCCACCCAGGCCCCCCTCTCTTTGTGTTTTGATTTGCATTTCCCTAATTACTAATGAACATCATTTCATGTACGTACTGGCCATTTGTTTATCTTCTTTGGAGAAATGTCTGTTTAAATTATTTGCCCATTTTTCAGTTGGGTTGTCCTTTTATATTGAGTTGTAAACGTTATTTATATATTCTTAGAAAACCTTTACCAGATACATGATTTGCAAATATTTTCTTCCAGTATGTGAGTGCAGCTGTATTTTATATTAATTTTTAGTCTTACTGGAAAAATTCAGTAACATAATTAAATAAAACAACATTCTTTCCCTTACTTGTTCCCAGTCTCATTCCCTAGAGGGCCATGTTTTGTTTTGGTTTTTTGCAACATTAAAGATGTCCTGTATGTTGGCAGCAACTATTCTTTTAAATACTCTGAATATAGACTTTAAGTTCTACATTTCAACTAAGGAGCAGAAATTGCCCATGACTGTGTATTTACCCTTTTCTGAAGAGTTCCTCCGTATATTTGGAAACAAGTAAATTTTGTTTCTTATCATGTGTTTCCATCACCAATTTGTGTCCATTTAATTTTATCAAAATGAGAAATAACTATGCAAAAATGAATTTGCTTAAATCTCACATTTCAAAGGCACTGGAGTAATCTAAAGCAGATAGTCCTCTTGCTCTAAAAGCAGTAGCTTTTGAAAATTTTTTACCTTAACCTTCCCACAGTAAGAAACATCTTCATGTCCTTACCACCCTACACACACACACACGCACGTGTACACACACATGATACGTAACTGAAACACAAGTTTCACAAACAGTACTTATTTGTATTATATGTGGTCACTTTGATGGTCACTTTGATATTTTCTGTTTGAGCTATTTCATTAAAAATATGCTGGTGGCAGTCTACTAAATTGATTTCACAAACTACATTGAGATGTACAATTCAAAAACATGCTATGTGAATGAAGGTTAATCTTAGTAAAGCCTCTTTAAATACTAATCTTCATTTTCTTTCAAGAGACATTAAGGTTTTGTATGAACATTTTGAAAATGTCCTTTGCATTTCATTTCAGGTTGGAAGAGTGGGGAGATTAGGCCAACATGGAACAGCAATTACTTTCATCAATAACAATTCAAAAAGACTCTTCTGGGATATTGCAAAAAGAGTGAAACCCACAGGATCCATTCTTCCCCCACAGTTATTAAATTCCCCCTACCTTCATGACCAGAAGAGAAAGGAACAACAGAAAGATAAACAGACACAGAATGACCTGGTTACAGGAGCTAATCTTATGGACATCATTAGAAAACATGATAAAAGTAATTCTCAAAAATGACTTGTGAGGGGCGCCTGGGTAGCTCAGTAGGTTAAGCGGCTGCCTTTGGCTCAGGTCATGATCCCAGGGTCCTGGGATTGAGCCCCACATCAGGCTCGCTGCTCAGCGGGGAGTCTGCTTCTCCCTCTCCCTCTGCTGCTCCCCCTACTTGTGCTCTCTCTCAAATAAATAAATAAAATCTTAAAAAAAAATGACTTGTGATACCACTGAACAATTTTTTATTGTGTATTATGAGTGAAATTTCTGTGTAACTATGGTTTGAGTAAATGGGACATGTACATGAAACAAAAAAATTTAACAATTAAAATTTTTTTAATTGAATCTCAAATTTATACTGCAGTATTGTATTTATTTCCCTTTTAATTCTCATAAAAAAGTATCAGAAAATGAATTGCTAAATAAAAAAAATTTTTTCTGTCTAGGCAAAGCCTCAATTTTTCCTCAATAAATATTCTTGGAGCTGTTGTCAGAACCAGGAACCTGCACAGCAAGGAGTTGGACTCAGAATGGTGATGCTTTCGTTCAGTGTCCCCAGCGTGCCGCAAGCCCACCAGCGCTTAGATTATTGTTGAATAAATGAATGTTAGGAAGAAAGTAAATGATGGAAACTGGAAGAAATGGTCCGTGCTTCTTTTAAAAGATAAATATGAAATACCTGTTTTATTCTTAGTTTTCCCTTTTGCTTGGTAAATACAAGTTTATGTTATATTTAATGTGGACTTATCAAAATAATGTCAAATCGTGTTAATGTTGCTACTTAGTATGTTAATTTCAGTTTGCTAATTCAATTGATAATATTAAATACTAGAAGAAAAGATAGGTGTTTTGCTTTGATGCATCAATATTTTCGTTTCTTTAAAAACTGTTGGTATCAGTTTACTTGCAGGATTCAGATAGTATGTCACATAAACGTTGACACTGAAGCTTTATATCCTAAACATCCTCCCCAAAGGGGTATGGCAGAGATTTATACTACTAACTTGAGTCTCTGTGTAGGTAGTTTCTTAAGGTCTCCACCCAAAGGAAAGCACAGGGTCAGAAGTTTCCTCAAAGAATATGAAACCTCAAGACTCTGGCTCTCTCCACCCTGTTTCTGTGTTTGCTAACTCTAAAGTGTAAGTATGTTCGATTGCAAGGATGAGGCAGCTATTAAGGTCCCAGAGTGTTGTAGCAGAGGTGCATTGAGAGGCTGAAATCAAAGCATTGGCACAAAGCTCAACATATAAAAGAGGCCTTTAAAAAAAAAAAATAGGCCTTGAAATTGTTGGTCATACTAGAGAAAGGGCACTTTTTCACTAGACTCAAACTTGTGTATAAATAAAAGCAGTAAGTTATAAAAGAGCTTTGTGAATCAACATATTTAGAAGACTTTTTTAAAATTAAAATCTTTATTGAACTTCTTTTAATAAGAGTTTATTTGTCAGAAACAGCACAAGGTGGGGGAGCGGCAGGCAGAGGGAGAAGCAGACTCCCCGCTGAGCAGGGGGGCCAATGCTGGGCTTGATCCCGAGACCCTGGGATCATGACCTGAGCCGAAGGCAGACGCTTAACCAACTGAGCCACCCAGGTGTCCCTTTATTGAATTTTTAAACCATCACCAATGGGCACGAACATTTTTTTTAAGTAACCTCTATGCCAAACATGGGGCTTCACCTCGCAACCCCAAGATCAAGAGTTGCATGCTCTACAGACTGAACCAGCCAGGTATCCCTAGAAGACTATATTTAAACAAAAATAGTATTGGGCTAAAATGTAACCTCACTGGTCAGCTTAATTTGCTGGCTGGCTTCTGTTCCCACCACGACTCATGTCCTTCATTTGCCTTCTTACAACCTGATGTTCTGCCTGCTCTCATTTTGAACTTTGCTATTGCATTGGGCGTTATTGACCACCCTCTTTGAAATTCTCACGTCCTTAAGGCAGCAGGTGAGTGAGACAGTGGTGGGAGAAAGAGCCCCAAACTCACAGGCTCATCCTGAGGATTAAATCAGAATTTTTTTTAAAAAAACCAAAGGTTTATTTTGGCTTTCTCACTTCTTCACAAAGAACATTGCCACGTATTTAAACTCTGACTCACATTGATTAATTTACTTCTATAAATCTAAGTTGGATCCATGAACTGTCATATTTCCTGATAAAACTATACTTTTTGGGGGGGGCAGACTGAACGTTATTCAACTTGCGCCCTTCTATGGAATTAATATCAACACAACTCTTATTGCCTTGTTACGCTCTCTGCTCACCACAGTCCACACAAAGCTTGCTCCATAAATGTAGGTAGGCCTGATAACGAGAGGTGACATGTCATTCAAGGTGACTTTCCTGGCAGCTAAAAAGTAAACTGACTCTGGGCAGATAGGACTCTTTTGTTGTCTGCAAGGCACACTTCGAGTGACCCCAGAGGCTGTAGAACCACAGTATGAAAACCAACCAATGATAATTAAGTAAACACGGTTCTCTTGTTCTGTGAAGTTAGTGTGAGGACCTAGGTCATAGTTCTATAGTTTTATAATGTATGGCATCTGTGGTGTTAATTTTACGGAATTGCACATAAAGTGAATATAAGACAATGTTTACTTTTTTAAAATGTTTACAAATAGTAATTCATAAAATGTTTACAAACTATTTTAGCTTTCTGAAAAATTTATATGTCATTCTTTTCTCATTTCATCTCATAAAGATGAAAACTTAATAAAACTGTTTGCAGGTAACTGGGTTCTAGTTACAACTCCACGGTTGTTTTTTTTAATTAGGAAAAATTCATTACTATCTCTAATCTTGAGCTTTGCTCATTTGTAGAATAAGAGGGTTTGCTTTAAACTTCTCTGAGGTCTTCTCAAATCTGTATTTTCTGTGCTTCATACTTTTTTTTTTTTTCAAGATTTTCTTTATTTGTCAGAGAGAGAGAGAGCACAAGCAGAGGGAGGGGCAGAGGGAGAAGCGGGCTCCCCGCTGAACAAGGAGCCCGATGTGGGCCTCAATCCCAGGACCCTAAGCCGAAGGCAGACGTTCAACGACTGAGCCACCCAGGTGTCCTAACTTTTCTTTGTTATTGAATAATCTCTACACCTGATGTGGGTCTTGAACCCACAACCCCGAGCTCAAGAGTCGCATGCTTCACCGACTGAGCTGGCCGGGAGCTCCTGTATTTCATAATTTTAAATCTCTCTCTCCATGACTGGAATATGCTTCAGAATAATACAGGGTGGGGAGTCTGGAGGAAGCAAAGTCGGCTAAGAGCTGATCATTATTGAAGCCAGGTGATGATGGGTACCTGTGAGTTTGTTATTGCTTGGCCTATGTTTGATGTGTTTGAAATATTCCATAATAAAAACATTTACATATACATATATACACACACAAATATATACAGATTTTGTATTTATATAAAATCCCCAATCCTATCCTTCGACTTGTGCATATCTTCAACTCTCCATCCAACCTTGGCTCAGATTCAGCCTGTCTAGAGCCAAATTCATCAGCTTCCTGACAAAAAAGTCAAATTCCCTCCTGACTGTGGTGCTAACACATTCAGGTCATGTTCAGAATCGTGGTGTCATCATTGACTCACCTCTCTCTCTCTAGTCTCCGTATCTGCTTAGTCACCAAGTCCTACCTGTTTTCTTTCAAAACGCCCACATGTTCATGCTGCCACAGAAGGCCAGGGCTCCATCACCCAAAATCTAAATTTTACTAGCGCCTCTGAATTGGCCATTCTAATTCCATGCTGCCTGCCGCTCAGTGCTCCTCCAGTCCAGAGCAGGAGCATATTTTTAGGGGAGAATTTCAGAAACCTTCTGCAGTTTCCTGTTGACAGCAACATCAAATCTGAGCTCTCCTGGGTGGTGTCCGAATCCCTCTTTCATCTGAGTCCACTCGACAGTTTTCTTCCCACTGTTCCCAAGCCCGGACCATCTGCTGTGGCTTTCTCTGGCCACTAGAACAGTACCGAAAGGCACTGCTGAAAGATTAAGCAGTTCCTCAGAACTTCCGTGGACACATTCACAGTACTGATCATGAGCTGCTGACAACCTGACCTGTTATGTCGCCGGCTGAGCCCTCAATCACCCAACACAACTCCCAGAGAGCAAAGCATCTGCTAATGGAGGCACACTTTTAATTCGGGAGGGAATGTTTGTTGCATCTTTTTCTTGTTTTGAATCCCGGTGATATTTTCATTGGGATTCCAGAGAACCTTAAGTGCTTGGAATCAGGTAATAATAGTAAAGTGAATTGTGAAACTAGGGCTGCCCCAATATAGGAGTTAGATGACTGAGTGCATTTCATTAAATGTGGTACTTTAGAGAAAAGCAATTAGGACTTACTTATTTACTTACTTATCTTTAAAGATTTATTTATTTATTTTAGAGCAAGAGAGCCTGAGCAGTGGGGAGGGAGGGGCAGAGGAAGAGAGAATCCTGAAGTAGATTCCCTGCTGAGTGCTGAGCCTGATGTGGGGCTCCATCCCAGCACCCTAAGATCATGACCTGAGCTGAAATCAAGAGTTGGACGCTTAACCGACTAAGCCACCTAGGCGCCCCGAGGACATTTTTTAAGGAATTGTTATGCTTTTTAAAACATTTCATACAGAACAGTTCATGACTTCTATGAATACAAAAATATAGACAGAAAATTCCTCATCAAAAATAGCATTTTACATAAAATGTACACACGCACACAGGAAGTATCTTTGGAACAATATTAGGAAAGTAGTTGTGATAGCCCATGAGGAGGAGAGAGCTGGAACTATATCTTTTTAAAATAGAGTGCAGATTTCATATTTATTTATAGGTAAATGGCTATTCAATTTCCTTTAAATTCTTTTGGATTTGTGTGGTAGGGAAGTGTGGATTTTGTGTGTGTATGTGTTTTGTAAGCAATACATTTCAATTTTATTTTATGGGGAAAGATAGCATTGTGTTTAAGAAATTAAATAGTTTATATACTTGAACTCTCACTAATAGATACAAAATTTGTACACATAAAGTTAAAATTCATTTCAAACTGCTAGCAAATTAAAGAATTTAGCTTAATGCTGTTGGAGAGGTGTTATTGGATGGGGATGCATTTTGGACTTT